GCTGCGCGGGGCCCCGGGCGCGCAGGGCTCTGGGGTGCCTCTTGCCGAGCCCCGCGGACCCCCACCCGCTCCCCCGGCCGTGCGGGCGCCGCGTCCAGCGCCGGGAGGCAGGCTCAGGGCTGCGGCATCTCCAGGCTTCCCGGCGGCGGTTCCTGCAGCCCCTTCCCCACTGACCCCTCCTCCCTTTCTTCTCCTCTGGCCTCTCCTCCCTTCCTCCCTTGGGGCCCCGGTTTTGTGAATGGATTAGGAGGCGGACGACGGTGTGGGGCACGAGGCTGGTTGGAGTATCTCCCCCTCCCCGGTCCGTGGGTTCGCACCTGTCCAGGCACCAAGACGCTCGGCGGCCCGGCTTCTGTGGGTCAGCCGGGCCACAGCCGCACGTATCCGCGGGCCTGGGCTCCCCTTCCCTTGCCGGCTCGGAGGGGCCGGGAGGGCGGCCGGGCGCAAGTTTCCATCCCACCGCGTGTGGGCCCCGCAGCAGGGCACACCTGTCAGCTGGAGAGGCGGCACACTGGGCAGCCCCACAAAGTTTCGGGGGTAGACTGGCGGTGTGCGTCCTTGGCTGGGGGTTTTCTCCTTCCGTCGTCTGGGGAAGGGGGTGAAGACGGTCTTAGGGAGCGCCCCCAACCTAGTGTCCTTGAAGCCGGATGCACGTTAGCCTACAAGGGCCAAGCTCTCGTGCATCCCTTCTGAGCGAAGGAGCAAGGAGGTGGAGGGGCGGCGGCAAGAGGCGTTCTAGCCTCTCCTCCTTCGGCTTGGTGCGACACGGCCCCGTCTGGACAGGGGCACCTCAACCAGAGCCCACACCACCGCCTGATTTCACGTGGGGCCTCCGCTTGCGGGACCTTCTTGGGTCCTCTGTGGGGTAGAGGTGCCGTGGTAATGCCTCCAATTCCTGAGCGGGGGAAGGAGGGTCCCGCCTGGGGAAGGAGGGGGCTGGCGACACCGAGGATGCCGCCTTTGTCTGCAGGCACACTTTGCCAAGGTAGCTGGGGCCCCGAGGGCATGAGAGGGGCCTAGTCCGACTGATTCCTTGGGTTTTCCGTTCCTTCCCGGCTGGGTCGTGGGAAACCGGCACGTGGGTGTGGCCGACGCCGCCTTTGCCAGAAGGCGAGGCTCAGGCGGGGATGAGAAGCGTGGCGAGTGCCTTCCCAGTGCATTAACCTGGTGGGCACCGCCTCTAGGACTGCACCGAGGCGGGGCGCCAGGGCCCGGCACGTTGCTGGGCTGGCCTGGCGCCCCCCTGCCCTTTCCCAGAGCACAGGCAGCCAGTGGTGCCCGCAGCGCCCCCTCGGCATGTAAGCTCTAGAAGGGGCGGGGGTTGCTCCTGGGCGGGATGCAGGGCCTGGGGGCCCCTGTGCCGCAGGTGCGTGCCAGTGTGCCGGGGACCCAGAGAGGGCTGGAAGTCCTGCAGAGGAAGCACCGGCAAGCTCCCCTGGATAGCAGGGCAGAGTGCCGGGTGGCCCAGCTTCCCAGAGGAGGGAGGCTGCCAAAAGCACTTTCCGGAACGGAAGCTGTTGGAATGCTACTGGTACCTGAGTCTCAGGCTGATTTAGGCAGTGATTGGTGTTCCTCACCCCTCCTAGGTGGCTAAGTGCCTGTTTCCCTGACAAGGTGTGTTTGTGTTGGGGTGTGGGTCAGGGGTCTGTTTCAGTGAGACCTAGAGTTGGAGCAAGCTTGGAAGTGAGACCTCATTGTCTGTAGAAGGTGGGTGGTGGTGGTGGAAACAGGATTCTCCAGATCAGGCAGGTGGCAAGGAGAGGAGATGGGGAGAAGGCCTCAGAAAGGAAGTGGGGAGCTGTGCTCATCAGCCTTCCCCCCTCACCCATCAGCCTTCCCACTTGGGTTGTCCTTCAGAGCTGGAAGTGCTTCCATTTTCAGTGAAATGATTTACCTGAGCCCTGTGGAGCAAGAAACCATTGGAACCCCTCATTGGGGGGATACTAAGTCTCAGAGAAACTTGGGCAAGGTCAGGCAGCCAGGATGGAGTAGAGCTGTGTGTCAAGCACAAGTCTTCTGGTGCCCAGTGCTAGGCTCTTTGCATTAAAACACAGCTGTTTCCAACTGGGCAGATGCTAGGTGCCCTGACTTAGTTGCAAATGAAACCTGGCAGCATTTCCAGGAGCTGCGGGCAGGGGGACGAGCATAGAGATTCCATGCGGGCACTAGGACCAAGTAGATGGGGCTTCCCAGGCAGCCACCCCTCCCAGGCTGCTGCAGTGGTAGCTGCAGTTGCTTCTGATGCCCGAGTGCTGGCCTTCCAGGAGGGCTGTCCACACCCCAGCTCTCATTTCCTCTTTCCCTTGTCTGCTTTTCCCAGTCACTTTCCTTTTCTTTCCTGCCCCTCAAGTAAATGAGAAAAAGGTGAGAAAGCAGAGAACACGGAAACTTTCTCTTACTGATTTCGCTGTTTCAAGAAAGGGAAGCTATTTCCTTTTTTCCCTGGTGCCTTTTTATGTTTCCTGCTGTTTCTTGTCTTTTCTTCCCCCACTTTCTTCATGGCCCTCATTGGTGGCTGTCCTTTACTGGTGAATATTCCCCTCCCAGCGTGCAGTCTCCTAGTGGGTACAGGTAGAGGCTGCCTACCTGCCTTGGCCCTCCCTCTCTCTGGCCCCTCAGATGCTCAGAGCTGCCTCTGGCCTCAGGCTCACCTCTACTGAAGCTTGCCTAGAAGAGCTTTGGGTCAGGTAGATCCCAGTTCTGCCATCCACCAGCGGGGTATCACATAGCTCTCCCTGGCTTCTGATTTGTCTAACAATAATAAATCCTACTCTAAGTGCTTCACATAGGGAACCCATTTAACCCTCAAAGATGCTACGAGGTTAGTGCCGCAGTCCACATTTTACAGGTGGATTAACTAAGGGGCAGAACACAGTCACACAGATAGTATGTGGCAGAAGTGGGATTTGAACCCCAGGAGCCTAGATTCTGAGTCTACAAACAGTCTTAGTCAAGCTCAATAAATGGTAATGGTTCTTATTAGTAGGTCATTTCCCCTGTTCTAGGGCTAGGCCCAGAGAAGATGCCCCTGCTCCCCCTGACTGGAAATGCTGCCTCCTGCCTGACCCCCCATCTCCTGCCTTCTCCCACCAGATGCCGGTGCAGCTGTCAACAGCACTGCGTGTGGTGGGCACCAGCCTGTTTGCCCTGGCAGTGCTGGGTGGCATCCTGGCAGCTTATGTGACAGGCTACCAGTTCATCCATACAGAAAAGCACTACTTGTCCTTCGGCCTGTATGGTGCCATCCTGGGCCTGCACCTGCTCATCCAGAGCCTGTTTGCCTTCCTGGAGCACCGGCGCATGCGGCGGGCAGGCCGGCCACTGAAGCTGCCCTCCCCGCTGCGGCGCTCAGTGGCACTCTGCATCGCTGCATACCAAGAGGACCCCGACTACTTGCGCAAGTGCCTGCGCTCGGCCCAGCGCATCGCCTTCCCTGACCTCAAGGTGGTCATGGTGGTAGATGGCAATCGCCAGGAGGACGCCTACATGCTAGACATCTTCCATGAGGTGCTAGGTGGCACCGAGCAAGCCGGCTTCTTTGTGTGGCGCAACAACTTCCATGAGGCGGGTGAAGGGGAGACAGAGGCCAGTCTGCAGGAGGGCATGGACCGTGTGCGGGATGTGGTGCGGGCCAGCACCTTCTCATGCATCATGCAGAAGTGGGGAGGCAAGCGAGAGGTCATGTACACAGCCTTCAAGGCCCTTGGTGATTCGGTGGACTACATTCAGGTAAGGATGCCTCTCTAGGAGTGTATGGACATGTGGATGTGTCCAGCCAGCCAAGCAAACTCTCCTCCTGGGATTTGAGGTCCAGTCTAGGTCCCTTGTGTTGTGCACATCCCTCCTCTGCACTTAAGAAGGCAACAAGGCATAATGGTTCTGAACAGCAGTCCTAAGGTCAAAAAGATGGATGGATGGAATCCTGTCTCTGCTGTTACTTGGCTCTGTGACTTGGGTAGGTTTCTGATTGGTATCCCTATAATAATAATAATAGCAAACAGGTGTATAGCATTTACTTCATACCAGACACTGTTGTAGGCACTTCATACATATTAGTTCTTTTAATCCTCATAAATCTCCTGGGGGTAAATATTATTATTTCCACTCATAGGTGAACCTGAAGCACAGAGAGGCTAAGTAACTTGCCTAATGTTACACAGCAGTATGGTGCAGAGCCAGGGTTTGAGCCCAGGCAGTCTGTTTGAAGTCTGCCTTCATCCATTGTGCAATACTGTCTCGCCCTTGGCAACATAAGATGAGCCTCTTCATAAAGAAGTGTGGTGAAGAGCAAAAGAAATCATGCTCCAAAACACTCAAATATTATTTTAGTTATAGGCCAAAAAGTCCTCTTCCTGGTGTCAAATTCGTATCTGTGAGGTGGGGGGACACAGGTGCGAATCATCCCCCAGCCTGAGCCTGCAGCAGTCTTGGCAGGGCCAGGACCCTGAACAGACCCTGCCTAGCTTCCAGTGAAAGGGATCATTGACACCAGCCTGGAAATCTTATTAGGTTGATAAGGTTAACACAGCTCCAATTTTCAAATAACAAAACCTAGAGAGAACTGAGTAAAGCTCACACATTTCAATACCAAGTAGAGACTGACACCCAGGACCCCAGATTTCTGGCCCAGCATCTGGACCACTCCTGTGTTTCTGCCCTTCTCCGCACATGCCAGAGGGTTTTGCCCATCACTTGAATGAACAGCTGCCATTGTGGTAGCCGCCTGTGTACCAACTGAGTCTTGCTGACAGCATGTTGAGTACTCCAATATTTAAATTTTCTATATTGTACTCACCTAAAAATAGCTTGCTACAGATTTTTTGGTTTTGGCTCTTTTCAAAGTTGCATTCTCACACGAGAGTTGTGATTTTTCTGTCTTCCTAGCCCCAAGGACCTCCTCAGCCTTTAAGAGAGGGACGTGAGGCAGTTCTTGGTTCTGCAGTTCACCTAGGGTTGAGGGACCTTTGAAACTTTCCTGGGGACTTGGAAGGCTTAGAAAAAGCCCTGAGCCCTGGAACATACTCCAGCCCCAGTGACTGTCACCCACTCTCTAGAAGCAGGGGATCCCCCCAGACCTGCTCTACCACACATCTTCCTTTCCTGAGCATTTCCTGTTTGTTCTGGTGGCTCACACACCTGAGCCAGCCTTTCTCTTTTCGGCTCTGGGCTTACTGCCTGGGGCAGCCCTGAGCTGGAGTCAGTGAACTCTCAGTGGATTTCAGCCTGTCTTCCAACAGCCCTGCTGAGGGTATGCCTTTCCCTCTGTGGGAGACAACCCTGCCCCAGCCAGTGGAGGAAACCCAAGCAGCCAAGAGCTCTAACCCCTAACCCTGCTCAGCTGGGAAGACCTCCCTGGAGTGATGAAGCTGAGCAGCGTGAAGAATGGGTTAGGGTCAGGGCAGGAAGCAGCTCTGAGACCAGCAGCACTGGGAAGCTTGGCCTATAAGCTGAGGAGGCTCTGGGAGTCTGGCCTGAGGCTCCCTGGGACCTTCCTGGGACCTTCGGATGTAAGGATGTGTCGGTGGGGAGGAAGGAGGGAGCAGGGTGATGGCTCTGCCTGGTTCCCCCCTCAGCCTCTTACTGCTGCTTGTCTGTGGCCACCAAGTCTTCTAACATGGAGAAAGCTGGGTAGGGCTGAGGTATGGGGGGCAGCAGCCCCCTTCCTGCAGGTTAATGGGCTCTCAATTAGCAGCTTTAGTCAAAGAATTTTAAGCTTTTGCAGAACTGGGTTTGGCCCCATCTGTGGATACTGTTCTTTGCCCTGTCAGGGGTCAGGAAACCAATTCCCCTGCCCAATGGTTAACTGGGTTCTTTCTACCATCAGTAATTTTCTAGAAAACCGACCAGGAGTCAGCCACCAGGGTAAGTGTTCATAGCCCAGAGGAGAATCCAGGCGAGAGCAGCCCTTGGCCGCCATGTCAGTGGGGGACCTGTAACTAAGTAGATACGTCCTCCACTTAGGCTGTGAGTTGTCCAAGAGGCCAGAGCCTGAAACAGGGAAGACCCTGTTAATAATCTTATGGGAGAGCTTTGGCCAGCAGCATCTGGCAAGAGCCATTTCTTGGCCTTCTGAGGAGTGTCTGCTGGCCTTGGTCTAGCCACTGTGCCTGTCATCTGATTTCAGTGACTTGTTCCTCCTTTCTTCCCAAGGACCCCCAGAGAAATATTTTGAGAGCATTTCTGAGGAGCCTGGCTCTGTAGGGGCTAAAAACTTGTGCAGTACTAAGCATTTCTCTTTCCAGGCCCAGCACTGACAGTCTCCTGGCTTTCTCTCTCAGCCTAGTAGCTGTCGAAGGGGGTTATGTCCCTCAGGCAGTGAGCAGCCTGGCGTGTGTGTGTGTGTGTGTGTGTGTGTGTGTAGACCTGAGGTCACAATGGGCTGACAGTGCACTCCCTCTGCAGGTGTGTGACTCTGACACTGTGCTGGATCCAGCCTGCACCATTGAGATGCTTCGAGTCCTGGAGGAGGACCCCCAAGTAGGGGGAGTTGGGGGAGATGTCCAAGTAAGAAGTAACCAAGGATTCCTGGGGGTGGGGGTCTGGACTCTTTCTGCTTCCTAATCCAACTGGATATGCTGGGAAATGGGCATCTTGACTTCCTAGTATTGGGGGGAGGGGGAAGTTCCTCTTTGACAGTTGTCACTGGTATCAAAGGGCTCACTTGCCCCTTTCCTGCTCTTTTTCAACCTGAGGGAAAAAAATCACTTAACAGATATGTAGAAAGCCTGTGCTGCTGGGAGGGGCACAGTATTTGGAATCCATCGATCCTGGAGGGTGCCTTCTTTTTGGCCGGTGGTGTAGCAAGCACCTCCAAAGTTATACCCTTGAGAAACCCTTGCTCTTAGGAAGTTGTGCTGAAGAGCTCTGGGCAGTATGGTAAGAATGAGGGGCCAGATCTTGAGGGCACTGCTGGCAACAGACCATGTCTTGCCAAGAAGCTTTCCAACTGCAGAAGGGTCAGGATGGGTGGCTGGGATGTTGCTTTGCATCTTTTTCAAGCCCTCCTCTCTGCCACCGCCACAGGCTGCCTCCTGAAATTGATGGCGGCTTTGACTGCAAGCAACTTCACTGGGACAATCAGTGTAGATGACACAGTGGAGAGGTGGGGCTGGTGCTTGGGAGAGTAACCAGGTGTGGTTGGCTCCTCTGAGCCTCAGGTTTCCAAGCTCTGGCTGGGCTAGGACTGATGGCCAGAAATTTAAGCAATGGGCTACAGAACTCAGGGAAAGGAGGCCTCTCTGGTGTCTCCTGGGGCTCATGTCGTCAGGTGAGGGGGCCTAGCATCTCTGGTTCCCTTACAGATCCTCAACAAGTATGATTCGTGGATCTCCTTCCTGAGCAGCGTGCGGTACTGGATGGCCTTCAACGTGGAGCGGGCCTGCCAGTCCTACTTTGGCTGTGTGCAGTGTATCAGTGGGCCCTTGGGCATGTACCGCAACAGCCTCCTCCAGCAATTCTTGGAGGACTGGTACCATCAGAAGTTCCTAGGCAGCAAGTGCAGCTTTGGGGATGACCGGCACCTCACCAACCGAGTCCTCAGCCTTGGGTACAGGACTAAGTATACAGCGCGCTCCAAGTGCCTCACAGAGACCCCCACCAAGTACCTCCGGTGGCTCAACCAGCAGACCCGCTGGAGCAAGTCTTACTTCCGAGAGTGGCTCTACAACTCTCTGTGGTTCCATAAGCACCACCTCTGGATGACCTACGAATCAGTGGTCACAGGTTTCTTCCCCTTCTTCCTCATTGCCACAGTCATACAGCTTTTCTACCGTGGGCGCATCTGGAACATTCTCCTCTTCCTGCTGACGGTGCAGCTGGTGGGCATTATCAAGGCTACCTATGCCTGCTTCCTTCGGGGCAATGCAGAGATGATCTTCATGTCCCTCTACTCCCTTCTCTATATGTCCAGCCTCCTGCCAGCCAAGATCTTTGCCATTGCTACCATCAACAAGTCTGGCTGGGGCACCTCTGGCCGAAAAACCATTGTGGTGAACTTCATTGGCCTCATCCCTGTGTCCATCTGGGTGGCAGTCCTTCTGGGAGGGCTGGCCTATACAGCTTATTGCCAGGATCTGTTCAGTGAGACAGAGCTAGCCTTCCTTGTCTCTGGGGCCATCCTGTATGGCTGCTACTGGGTGGCCCTCCTCATGCTGTATCTGGCTATCATTGCCCGGCGATGTGGGAAGAAGCCAGAGCAGTATAGCTTAGCTTTTGCTGAGGTGTGACATAGCCCCCAAGCAGAGCGGGAAAAGTGCAATGGGTAAGGGAGGGAAGGGGAATGGAAGAGAAAACACATGGTGGGAGGGAGGGAGTGCTGTTTTAGTTTCTTAATGGTCCAAAGGACAAATATGAAGTGCAAAGATTGGTGACCGTAGTATGGCCTTGGGCAGTTCTGCTCAGAGGAAGCAACACTGATTCCAGCTCAGGGGGGCTCAGGAGACATGTTTTCAGGCTGCCTGCCTGCTTGCCTCTGCATGCATGGTGGTCTCTGGGAAAGATTCCACTTCCTCCCCAGGGATCCAGAGAGAACTCAAAAGTGCTAAACCAAACAGTAAGTTCCATTCAGGGGCAACTTCTGATAGGTAAGTGAGCAATGACAGCCTATGGGAAGGGGTTCTCTTAGTCCATCTGAGCACAACCAGAGGTGGTGGGAGAATTTCTGAGATCTGGGCCAGCTAGTAATGTGTCCCCCCTCAATCTAGTTATCAATGCAATAAGATTGTGCCTGAACTACAAGGCCCAGAAACCTCATCTTTGGGTATCAGAAAACAGGGTCCAGGAATGGTGCTTTATTATGTGATGCACCCCATTCCATGTCTCAGCATCTCAAGGATGAGCCAAACTAGCAGGGAGTTAGCACTGAATTACTTTTAAGCGTACATATGTGTGAGGAAAGTTTGCCAGGAGGAATGAAAACTGGTGGTGGTGCTAAAGGCCATGGACTATATGGAGGCCTTGGGCTGAGGGCATTCCACCTGGAAATTGCCCAGATGTCTGGATTAGCTTTTCTGGGATCTCTGCTGGTAAGAGATTTTTTCATCATCTACCCGGAAGATTAAACCCCAACATGCTCAGAAAGGAAGTAAGGGCTCGGGTATTTCAACTTGTATGCTCCCAAATTCCTCTCAAATTCAGCTCTAAGCCTAAGCCTCCTCACTTATCTTTCTTCAAGGTGAGGCAGTTACCTCTTCCATCCTCCTCATCATCAGGCAAGTTTTTCAGGCGGAAAGTGAGGCAGAGCCTGGACTCTCATAGACCCCTCTGCAATAGGCAAGCCTGCCCTCAGCACATGGGCGAAAAACCAGTGGGAGCTGGTCTGACCAAATTGGCTAGTATTTTGGAACTGCTTGGGCAGATTCCTTGGCAGCTGGGTAGCATGCATGACTTTCAGGCTACAGTTCTTGACAATCGTCTCTACTGGAAAGCTTTTCAGTGTTTCCTAAGTGAACCCTCAAATCCAAGCTGGTCATCTTTGAGACTGTCCATTCTCCTCAGTGGCTTCTCCAGGGAATTCTTACAGCCAAGTTGTGGAAAGTCACTACTGCATCTGCTTGCTTCTTTCCAGGAACCAAACTGGAAGATGGAATTGGTTCTAAATCCTAAAGTTCTTGCTTTCTCTCTCACTCCTCTTGGGGCTGTTTGATTTCCCTCTGTTTTTTGGGGGGAAGTGAGGGAAGGCTATTTTCTAGAGATTTGCAATCCATAGACCGTTATCAGCTCTTGGGTTTGAAACCTGGGATCTTGACTAAGCCTTTGATTTGCAGTTGCTTGCTCGCACTCTCCCTCCCTCACAACGTCCATTCTCAGAGGGGCCAGCTAATCCCTCAGAACCAGCACAAAGGTAGAGAGTAGTAGAGGGGGCAAGCCTCTAGCGTGCCCAGGTGCTTCCTACCAAGGAACAAAGTGTGCTCTGAGCCACAGATTGGCAAATCCTGGTGCTTTCCTTCATCTCCCATGAACACAAGGGTTTTCCAGGTGCAGCCAACACTGCTGCCATCACACACACCTCGAGTTTCTGATAAGACTGCTGGTTGATGTTGGGCCCAATCCACGAAGGCTGGGAAGAGGCAGCAGGCATTTGCTGAAGGCAGTTGTTCCAGGCTCTTCCGTGTTTTTCCTGGCCAAGAAGTAAACTATTTTGAGCACTACAATGGAGGAAATCCGGTCAGCCAACTGCAGAGCTCAGACTTAACTAAGGGCTTGTTTTTCTTCAGCTTTGAAGGTTAATGTAGGATGGACTCCCAGATGAATTCCTGGCTGTCCTACCATCAGCTCTGCCTTGCACCGGGGTCATCAACTTTCCTCAGATCAAGAATAGGCAGGTACAAGTAGTGGGCTCACAACGTTTGACCTCGACTGGTTTTTCTAAGTTATTTTGTATGTTTTTCAGCAGCAAAACCAAACTGGGTCTTCAGCTTTATCCCCGTTTCTTGCAAGGGAAGAGCCTTTATACAATTGGACACATTTTGGTTTTTCCTGAGAATTTTAACCCTCTTTTGTATTATTTCTACAATAATTTGTAAACATATTTATTCTTTTTTTTACTTTTCAGGCCAAATTTTTTATACTGCACTTATTTGTCAAAATAAAGATTCTCACGTAATGCTGGTATCTGAGCTACTTCTTCCCTCTTTGTATTTAATGAAACCTAGCTCTTTACTCCAGTTTCAAAAGACGCACTGGAGATAGAAACATAGGTTTGTCAAGGTAATTCCAGTGGAACTCAGAAGCAGGATAAGTTGTCACAGCTGCCTCTGGATCTGGGGAATACAGTAAGCCCACCTTGGTAACTGCACACCTATGGTGGCTTAACTTTTATTGTAGAGGGTGGGCAGGTCTTTGGTGAAATTACTGGCAGATGAATGAGGCCTAGCTAAGGCTAAAAACCAAAGCTTGCTTCCTCTTTGAGTGAAAACATTTTATCTGGCAGATAACGTGAGATTGTGGCCAAGGTGAAACAATGAAAAGCAGTGGGTACACTTCCTTCCTTGTGGAACAGGTAACAAAATGGAGTGACATCAGTGGCCCTCTCATCCCATTTATTAAAGAAACAGTAAGAAAAGATACAATGCAGGAAAAACACCAACCATCCTTTCACATCAGGCTGAACGAAGCACAGTGATTTCTCCCCTTCACCCCCCACCCCCCACCCCAATTCCCGGATTCCCATCCACGTCAGTTTAAATTTTGAGGTTCTTTGATTGGGAGTACCAGTGGGGAGGGAGTTGGATGAGCAGTGAAGCCTTCATTCTGGCCTCCTCTAAGTCCCAGGAGAAGGAAGCTGCAGGCCCAATCAGTCAGTCAAACTGGAACTGTATTTGGTGGGTCTTTGAAGTGGTTGCCCACCTCCCTGTTCTGTGTTCAAGCTCCCAGGGAAAGGTATGGCAGTAGAGGATGACCAGGTCCAAGCTGCCCAGGTCAGAGCTGCTGAAGCATGGTCCGTTCACCAACGCAACATTTCTAGAGAGCAGTGAGCTGATTCTCCAGTGATGAGCAGGGGACTATGTATTAATTGGGACCTGCAGGCCAATGTATCCCTGAGGAAAAGTCCACAAGAACAATTCAAGAAACTAGTAAGAAACAAAGGGCAGAAAGCTGTGGGACAAAAGCACAGCAGGCTTCTGGAAGGCTGGAGATCCTTTCTATCAAGGCCAGGATCATTCCCACCTGCCACAGTCCATGTCCCACAGTAACATTTCACCTTCAGTCACGAAAGAAGCAGAGGAAAAGATGGCTCATTTGTACTTGAGCCCCAGCTATGTTCTTCAGACTGTAGCTCCACTTTTACCCTTTTACCCTGCCCAGAACCACGGTTCCTGGAAACCAAGCTGGTCCTGGAGAGAAGGTGGTGTTTAAGGGGGTAACATTCCATTTGGGTACATTGCAGCCATTGGACCCCCTGGTCTTGGGAAAGCAGCTGGGTTTGTGCCAGGGAGGCTCCCCACTCTAGGAAATGGGACCAAAGTCTTACCTACAGGACCATTCATCCTTGGAAAAGAAGCTGAGTTTAGACCCAGGGTCCCAGTTGGTCTTGCAAAGGGTGCTGGGTTGATACCCACAGGGCCAGCTGGAGAAGAGCCCAGGGGCCCAGGAGCTGACCTGGGGAAGGTAACCTGACCAGGGCCTAATGGGCCAGTAGACCTTGGGAAGGTAGCTGGACTTGGACCCTGTAAGCCAGTGGCCCTTGGGAAGTTAGCTGGGTTGGGGCCTAGTGGCCCAGAGGCTCTTGGGAAAATTGCTGGACTTGAGCCCTGGAGGCCAGCAGACCTCTGGAAGGTAGCTGGGTTTGAAGCCAATGTGCCAGAAGATTGAGAGAAGGCAGCTGGGTTCAGTCCCCCTGAACCTGTCCCCCTTGGAAAGGGATTAGCATTTACCCCCATGGGGCCAGGTGGCCTTGAAAAATGAGCTGAATTAGGACCTATGGGGCCAGGAGCCCTTGACATGGGAGATGGATTTGGCCCTGGAAGGCCAATTCCCCGAGAGCCAGGAGCCGAGTTTGGGCCTATGGGGCCAGGTATTCTTGCCATGGAGGATGGGTTCGTGCCCATGTTTCCAGAAGCCTGTGAAAAAGAAGCTGAATTTGCTCCTAGAAGACCTGCAGCTCTCAGAATTGGGGCAAGATCTAGGCCTTGAGGTCCAGCCATTCTTAAGTTAAGACCAGATCCTGTGCCCAAGAGGCCACCCGCTCTGGTGTCCAGATTAGAGCCTGGGCCCAGGCCACCCACCCTTGGGTTGGGCCCAAGGCCTGGGCCCAGGCCACTTGCTCTTGGGTTGGGCCCAAGGCCAGGGCCTGGAAACATACCTGACCTAGGGGCAGGATTTGTACCTACAAAGCCTGATCTTAGATTGGGACTTGGTCCGGGGCCCAGGCCAACGGGCCTAGGATTGGGAGGACCATTCCCAGAAGTCAACAGGACACCTGCTCTCAGGTTGGGTCCAGATCCTGGACCCATGGGGCCACCACTTCTGGGGTCAGGACCCGTTCCCAGGAGACCACCTGCCCTTGGGTTGGACATAGGACCTGGTCCTGGGAGACCCCCTAACCTTGGGTTAGACAAAGGCCCTGGGCCTGGAAGAGCTCCTGCTCTAGGGTTTAGAGCTGGCCCTGGGCCTGGGCCCAAGAGGCCACCTGGCCTTGGGAAAGAAACTGCACCTGTGCCAGTGGGATTCATCCCTCTTGGAAAAGAAGCCATGCCTGGGTCACGAGCACCAGCAGGGAAAGGTGCTGGATTTGAAGCCAATGAGCCTGAAGAAGTTGGAAAAGGAGATGGGTTCCTTGGAAATGGGGCCAGATTTCCACCAACAGAACCAGTTGCCATAAGAAACGGATCCGAGTTCATGCCCAATGGGTGGCCTGTGTTTAGAAGTGGACCCCCCTGTGGTCCCAGGGAACTGTCGAGCCGTCCTCGAGGTGGCAGTGGAGCACGAGTCCAAGGAGTTGGCCGCTCTCTAGGGAAAATCCGGGGTTCTTTCATACTTTCTTGGGGACGTTGGTGATAATGGGCTTGGGGCGAGTTTTGAAAAGGATCTTGTTTTTGATGAGTGCTGTCACCAGGTACCGGGTGCCAGTCTCACAGCCAAGCTCATCACAGTCCTGCTCCCCAGGAGTGTGTTTGACAAGGACAGCGAAAGGTTTCTCCAGGTGGATGATTTTCCCATACAGGATATGATGCCCCACGATCAGCACAGGGATTCCCTTTGGCAGAACAAGAATGAGATGCCTGAGGTTCAGGGCAAGGTCATAACATTCAGGTGCCTTCTAGAGATACTCTTGGCAGACAATGCTGGCACCTCCACTCCCTGGTCTAGCTCTACCATTGTTGAGCAACCACAATGGACGACCCACCCTCGTGCCCTTTTTACTCTTTTTAGCCCCAGGTAAAAGAATTTCCACTTTTAGAGCTATGACCTTTCCAGATTCCCCAAAGCTAAATTTCCCTGCTACTACAGAGGTAGGGGGAGAACAAGCAGATAGCTTAGCAGATTAGCTAGACCTTGAATAACAAACCTGAGGGCAGTCCTCACTCTGGGTCCTGGGAGCACCACCTTGGTGTAGCTGGCTTTCCTGAGGCATTAGGCAGGGAAAGAAAAGCCCCCTCACCTCAGTGGTGTAATGTAGGTCTCCCAGGAGGTTTCCAGCTAATCCAGTGCTGTAGCGAGCCTCGATCTCCCCCTGTAGCTCCATCAGCACCCATTCTGCCAGGCCTCCAGCCCCAGCACTGCAAGCAAAGGGCTGGCGGTTACAATATTTTTGAGGGGTGAAGGATGAATAGTGTCCTACACCACCATTTAAGGCCCAAAGGAACCTTCTTGAGCACAAGTTCTTGGGAAACTGGGCAGTGCTAGGCACTGAACTAGAATTGAAATGCAAGGATCTGTGCAAGATGCACCTGAGGACCCCATTTCTTCCAGGAAAATGTCAAACCTATATAGCCCTAATCATTCAAGCTAAATAAGAGTCTCAAAATGTACTCACCTGGAAATAACAATTTGTACCATGAGCTTTCTGTCTTTAAAAAGCAACTGAAAATAAGCTGTAAAGGAAAAAAAAAAAAAAGATTTAGGATAATAATAATGATAACTAATATTTATCACTTAGTGTGTGCTAGGCACTTTTCTAAGTGCTTTAGACACACTTTATTCCCCTAACAGCTCTATAAAGTGTAAATTTTTTTACTTGATACTGTACATATAAGACTGCTTAAGATCACCAAAGGTCAACTACAATGTGGAAAGTCAATAGATATCACAACCGTGTTTAAGGTCACACAGCTACTAGTCAAAAAGCCAGGATGTGAATCAAAGACATACACTGCAGAGCCCACACTCTTGACCACTATGCTAACTTGCCTTTCTCAAGGATATTCTATTTTCCATTCTGCATATTTCTAAAATACTAAGGTATTGTTTTAGATTTTACTTTTTTCTTTGGTGATGATACACACTTCACGTCTACTATTTTGGTTATCTTATATTTCAAAGTTCAAAGGACCTCCTTTAACTAAAAAGGCCAAGAGAACTGAAAAAGTCCTTCAGATTTTAGTGAATGGTAAGCTGATTTCTGACATGATTCACAAACACTTCGACCATCTTTCACTTAGATACTAAAATACCATGCCGCTAATTAACTTTCATTTTATACAACAGCACCACCTGGTGGCAAGTTTGTAGTACTCTACAAGAATGGGTTAAAATAGGACATCTTTGCCTGAAACAACTGGCTTCCCTTATATTTGTCTTTCTGGGAAGGACAGATTCATAGGGGTTAAGGGATCTAAACTACAGCTTCTGTATAAGTCTCTCCAATGAATAGATGGAGCTGAGTGGGAGGTTATTAGTCCAGTGTTTACTAACCGTAGTATAGCAAGTCAATAGGTATTTGTGCTCAAGCTTAGCAAATGCCTGATTAAAAAGTTAAACAGGTTTCTTTACTGATATGTTAATCTTTCATCTTGGATCTCCACGGACAAGTGTAGTGCCAGCAGCTTTACAGGATGGCAGAACCTCTACTCTTGAGCACCAAACGTACTTTGGGAACATGAGGTTGGTCAATTCACTGGACTTCAAATTCAAGTATAAACAGGAGCTAATATTTAATTGAATTTTTACTATGAATCAGATGCTGTGCATATATATGGGTAGTCTCTCATTCAGTCACTGTGACAACTCTATGAGATAGGTTCTTATCCCTATTTTGCAGATAAGGCTACTGAAGGATACCCTTGCTTATATGTGATACATACAGTTGGTATGTGGTAGACCCAGCCTAAGAACCTAGGCCATC